CGTCGGTCTCACAGCCTCAGCAGATGTCAAGCGCCGTCACGCCCCGGTTTTAACAATGTCCAGACCCGTCAATGTTATGCAAGTTCCCCCGCTGCAATTGCTACACATTCGATGACTCCAGGACACAGCTGCATGCATGTCTGTAAAGTGGACATGCGAGCTACCCAAATGAGGAAGGATTTTGACTTTTATGGGCTGGTTCACATAACCCTGTGCTGCCTGCTTTACCCCAGCAAATTCCAAAGTGGTCAGGCTGCCCGTCACACAGTCACCCCAAAAAACCCCAAGCCACCAATGGGAAACGCTACAATTCCCCACTGTGCTCGTCGTCATGGTGACGGCATCCTACAGACTGGGACAGATCTCTTTGGAAGCATGGGAACGGCGGATAAAAGAGTGTTTATTCAAAATAACTTTGTAGCTTGTCTTTCATTACGTGTTGTTAGGCCTGAACTACGGATTGTTAGACAACGGCACGGCATGCCACACTGGGTAGAAAGCGGGCAGAGCGGTTTTGCACGGCTCAGCTGGGACGCGACCTCAGAGTGTTCCCTGCGGCCTCTCAGTTGTGGGAGTGGGTAATGTATCCTACTACATATCCCATTTGTTAGTTTCATTTGGGGGGAACTGAACCTTCACATCCTGCACCACACAGCCAAAGCAAAGTAGACAGGTGCCCAAGGACCTCTGGAGTTGGGAACAGCGGGCCGGCTCAGAGAGAGACTGGTACGCAGGTGTTCACTGGCCATCATGAGACCGGAGAATAAGGCTGGTTAGACACATGTAAGAGCATCTGTTTAAATACTCGTTTGGGGCCCAGTTAGAATTCAGAGTTCATAGAAGAACGCTTGGAAGGATCATCACACTTTTTGGCTGCGTGAGAGCACCAGTCCCACCTGAAAAATGTGCTGTTACACGTTATAAACAAACACTCATGTATTTAATTGCAGCCTCCAGAGATGAATACAGAAATAAAAGTCAGAAATAGCAGCAGGGCTGGTCATACCCACAGCCCTGACACCAGCTGAATTATAAGTCACTAGAAATATCACTGACTGGTTGATTTGGGACCCCTGGAATGTTTTTAAATATCCAAACAACCCTGATAACTTCAAGAATGTTTACACAGTCCATCACAGAAACAATTAAAACATAAAACTATGTCTAATGAAAATATGGGGAGGTGATGAAACACTTTTATGGATATGAAAGACGAAGGTCTCGAGGGAGCCACAAAAAACCCCTGAATCACACCAGACAAAGTCTACAATGTTCTGTTTCCCATTAATGTGACCATATCAGGGGTGAATTTAGCGGGCAAATACGTGGCCACCCCTGTTGCCACACCACACCAAAATAATAAAAATGAAATATGGATTATTTTCTAAGCAGGACCACAAAAGAGACAAAGTGCAGCACAGCCACCCCCCATAAATATAACTGACCCTTGACAGGGCCAAAATGTTCTGCAGGCACCACTGGACTGTATAACATGAAACATATATATTGCATTTCCTGGGTCTGTTAAAAATCCTGGAAGTTGCTTTAAAAAAATGCAAATGATCATTTCGGCCTAGAATCTCATTTAGAAATACTCAGCATTATTGTGTGGACCAAAAACTAACACAAGCAATATTTCAATAAATCAAAGTCAAAGTCTACACATTTCTAAATTCCAATTTTAAAGAAGTTTCCTTCTAGTGAAATATTTACAATATGATATTCAAACTATACTACAAGTCCAAAACAACATCTGAATACTTTTGTATCCAAACTGTATTTGTGGTGTGGTAGGCTGTTTTTTTTTTTTTTTTTGCTGTGGTGTGTTTTTCAAACATACGGAACATTTCTGAGACTTTGAGGCATGAGTTTCGGACTAGAGGGTGCTACCCGGCATCAAGAATTACAATTCAGTATTGCTTGCTCCTCGTTCAGTATGCTAGAGTAACAGCATACACTGGTGGCCAAAATGAGCAACTACAGAACAAGAAGGATGATGTTATGGCAATCTGAAATGAACTATTTTGGACTAGAGATATTCGTACATTATCGTGCAATTTGATGAAGCGTCAAATTTTGCGCGTTGTTAATATTATATTACCTTATAAATATATATATGTAATTTTTCAACATAAAGGCCAAATTATAAATCAGTATTAACCACCCGCCTGTAAATGGCGCTAGAGAACCAGCAACATGCATCAGAACGAAGACTCTGTGATCGACTACTCAACCTTAGCAGCCCAAAACAAAGCACATACGGATCCGTTAAAGAATTTGGCCTTTTAGGAGTAAATGGGCAAATTAATCACTAATTAATCATGGGCAAAAAGCATAAAAAACACAAGTCGGAGAAGCACGCGTATGAAGGTAAGAGAGCTGTGGATGTGTCCGATCGAGCGGCGCGGAGAGTCCCTGCGAGCACGCTATCGCCGCAGGTAAGCGCGGTGGGCGGTTGGCTGTGGCCCGGCGCCGCGTTGGGAGCCCGAGCCACGCCGCTGGACGGTGATCCACCGATTTCCGGTGGCGTTTAACGGCTCGCCTCCTTGCGTCTATGTAATAGCTTTAGCAGGAGCGGAACCGGTCGGCATGCGAAGCATTACGACATGGTTAGCTGCCATGATAAGTAAACGGTGTCTAGCTGCTCCGTGGCCGGTGAGCCGGTGTCACGGTCCGCTAACGGCGCTGTCCCGCAGAGTACGCGGAGAAGCCGCTGAAGCTGGTCCTGAAGGTGGCGGGGAATGAGGTGACCGAGCTGTCCACGGGGAGCTCCGGCCACGACCACGACGACCACGACAAGGACAAGCACCGGGACAAAAAGAAGAAAAAGAAGAAGAAGGGGGACAGGGAGAGGAGCAGCCCGGCGCCGTCCCTCGACGACAAACGGAAGAAGAAGGTGCCTAACGTCTTTTTAAGCCCGTGCCGGCTGCGTCCAGGCTGTACGTGCTGTTTGCCGCCCGGATCCTTAATGAAGCCAGCGGCCTCTGAGCTGCCGCTTATTGATGCTTGATTGCGGGGCTGCCACCGCTCTCGCATCCGGTGTGACACTCACGCTTTCTGACTCTCACGCTCACGCAAGAAATCTTGCGGCAAATCTGTATTATTTCGTTTTAAACCTAAAAATACAACTAACGCGTTGCGGTAGTTTGCAAACCCAACAGACTTTTTTCAATGCAATAAAACTATTACATACATGTAAATGGGTGTGCAGACTAGTCTAGAATTGAACATCTCACTCCAGCCAGCTGACCAAAGTTGGTGACATTGTGATTTACTAACTTTGGCTTTCTGTGGCATTCTTTTTTTTTGGGTTGGGGGTGTTTTCTTCTAGATGACAAAAAAAAAGAAGGGACAGGACTCCGTGGACACAGACTGGGAAGAGAGGGAACAGAGCCACACGCCCATTCGATCAGATCCCACCCAGGACAAACACTTGACCCCATCCATCGCCCAGGTAGAAGGTAGGGGAACCTTTAAATGGTTTTTTTTTCTTACTTTCACAGTAAAACACTGATGCTGAAAATCCCTCAGGTAGGTTGGTTGCTTTGCTGTCCGGCTTCTGTCTCAAAACGGTGGGTCACTGGTCTAATTTCTTTGTCCTTCTGTCCTTTTGCAGAAAAAGAACAGAGTCCCCTGCAGGAGGCACTGTCACAGCTCATCAGGCAGCTGCAAAGGCAAGGATCCTGTTCCTCCACACACACACTGAACCTTCAGTGAATAGAACTATTGGCACATTAGCCATGTCAATAACAGAAAAGGAGCTTGCCTGTTCCGCCTGTGTCTGTCTGTCTCCTCTATCGTTTAACTCAGTGTTTCCCAACCCAGTCCTTGTGGACCCCCAGTCTATTCACATTTTTGCTCCCACCCAGATTCCAACCAAACAAGAACACCAAATACTTGGTACATGTGTGCTGAGAGCTGGGAGGGAGCAGAAATGTGGACTGTCTGGTGGTCCAAGAGGATTGGGTTGGGAAACACTTGTTTAGCTGAATATGGGTCTTCAAAATGCCCTGTGTGTGCTGGTTGTGCTGTGGATTGGGATCCTGGGATAAGCTCCAGATTCTGAGTTGAATTGGTTCCTCTGGAATACTGAAAAAAGGTCAAGCTTACATACCAGACATGACATGATGTGTGTGAGGTGTAGGAGTGAGATTAGTCACTGTCCTAAAAGTGTCCACTTTTTTTACAGGAAGGACCCCAGTGCATTCTTCTCCTTCCCGGTGACAGACTTCATTGCTCCAGGCTATTCCATGATTATCAAGAGGCCCATGGACTTTAGCACAATGAAGGAGAAAATAAAAAAAGACTATTATCAGTCCCTGGAGGAGCTGAAGGTATGACATTTCCTTTAAGCATAAAATTGAATTGTTATCGAAATAGATATCTGGGATGCATCAGGTTCTCAGGTGAAATAACTCCTTGGTGTTTGTTGTTGATAGGCAGATTTTAAGATCATGTGTGAGAACGCAATGATATATAACAAGCCTGAGACCATTTACTACAAGGCTGCAAAGAAACTTCTCCACTCTGGCATGAAAATACTGAGTGAGGTAGGTGAAATGCTAAACTCCGCCTGCGGTGATGTTGCCTTCTGTCTTTGTTAACCTCATGTGTTCACCATGAAATTGACCCAAGGGCCGTACTACGAAGTGAATTATCTGGCTCACGCTATGTTCACACTACATGATTTTCTGCTCGCCGACAGTTTTAGGAGATCGGCGACAAAAGCCCCAGACTCATCAGCAATCCATCCTGATGAAAGATAATATAGTGTGTTGCTGATCAGTCATGTAGTGTGTGAAACACAACGACTTCAAGACTCCAGATCACAAGACGACGGGTCGTGTAGTGTGAACAGTACAGCGATCTGACAACTTTAAAAGTTGTGTAGTGTGAACTTAGCGTTGGCAAGGTTTCTTGAGGCTTACTACCGAGTTTTGGGTACTACATGTCTTATCTCTCTTTTAAAGCAGGTGTATCGCCAGGGTAAATACGATCTGATACTTTTCTGGCAGGGGAGATACCATGATCACAAAGGTGGTTCACCCAGGGTGAAGTTCAGCAATTGCCCTGCAGCTGTGCTGACCCCTGCAAAATTTCCCAAATGTGGAAATCTTGACTGCATAAGTTCTGGTAGTAGGGGACTGTGTTTGTGCTCTCCACTGATTTTTGGAGTATGGTGTTGCTCAGTGGGTTTAGATTAATGATGGATAAAATGACCTCACAAACCATTTGCTGGGTTTTTTGACCTCACTAGATATTTGTCCTGGTTTTGCTTTGGGGATTGATTGGTTCACATTTTTGATCAGAGAGCACCATCTAGTGGGTTCACAAAATACAGCACATGATTCATGAAGGGTCATTTTGTTTATCACTAGATGCTGTGCTTGTGATCTGAAGGACGCTGGTTCAGATCCCGTGTTCAGTAGGGTGGTTTTATTGTTTTGGGCGGCATCTTGTCGCTCAGTGGGCTAAGCCCCTGTGCCTGTGATCAGAAGGTTGCCAGTTGAAGTCCAGCTTCAGCAGAATAGTCACATGTCTGTGAGCCCTTGAGCAAGGCCCTTAACGCTTAGCTTCACAGACGCCTCTTCAGGTGGCTGCCCATCACTACCAAGTTTGCTCTCACCTATACAGTATGTGTCTGTGTGTCATGGAGAGCAAGCTGGGGTAGGTGAAAAGAGAATTTACCCACTTGGGATCAATAAAGTGCCAATATACTACTTATTAATCAGTCATCCTGAGATTTTGCCCATGCAACCTAAGTTGTGTTTCCATCAAATTCCTGAAGGACTAGATACAAGGTTCAGTGCAGGTCCTCTCTGTGTGGGCAAAGTGGCGGACTGACAGAGAGCCAGATTCTAGCTTACTGTCGGACTGGACTGTGCCGGGGGCTTCACCATGCACTGCATGCCTAACCTGCTCTGAGGAGGTTTTAGTGCAGGTTTTTGGCTTAAAACAGGCATGAGTCCAACCCCTTTTACCAAAAACATGCATGCAAACCACCCTTTCACAAAAAAAATGTAGCCTATATGAGACACGCTTTACTTAAATAGTTGTTACAGGCTATACCACTGATTTATTTATTTTTAATCTGATACAAATAAAATGAAATGTTTTGAATACTGATATTCGGTGCCAGTCCCTTTATAGCCCTTTGCAAAGGGCAGATTAATATTGTCATAGTGTTGGCAATAGTTTGGCAAGCGGGACAGAAATTACCTGCCTCCTGCCTGTCATAGGGCGGCTCTTAGTTTGAGTCATTAGTTTACAATGCTGACACCACTCCTTTAATGCGAACGCGTACAGACGTACTCCGACTTAACTTACCGAGTTGATAACCACCGCTGTAGTACCATGTAACACCGATTTCAGCAATTGCGGATTGTTAACTAGGTTCTATTGCGTTAACTGTGGGTATGTAAAACCTGCTTTCAGAACACCTGTCATGTCGAGTCTTTGTTGTCCGTGGTGTCGTGTTCTGTAGAAACAGCAGAAGGCCTTAGTCTATGACGTGTACATCTTTCTGAAGTGGGAGGAGGATATTTAGTGGCCTGTAACTCTGCTCATCTCTGCTCCACAGGAGAGGTTACAGAGCCTGAAACAAAGCATTGAGTTTATGGCTGACCTGGAAAACACCAAAAATGAGGAGGGGGAGCCAGAGAAAGAAGGAACCCCCACCCTGGACCGGTCCAAAGACAGCCACGTGGCCATGGACACCAGCGAGACCGCCCAATCACCGAGGAGGATTCTCAGGGATGCCCCCAGGTGCTGATGAATCTTACTGTTCTTGGTTCAGTACGAGTAATGATGCATATCGCCAGTTATTAGACAAAAAAACCAGGTTGTGATTTAAACGTAACATGTAGCTTCAAGGTTTTATAACATGTATATCATCATTTTAATTGCCTGTGTTGTTTTGTAATTAAGACCATGTGACTAACATCCATAGTATCATAATATAAAATTATATTTGTTTTTAATCGGCACACCTGCAAAGGAGATATTATAACATGATTTAGCTTAAGTGTATATTTGTTTTCCTGCTGATAATTGTCCTTCATTAAAAGTTAGCTATTTCAGTGCATGGTGTAGAAGTGAACAACACTGTCATGTTCTGATGTTTAGGAATTTGAAGAATCAACATCTGCGGTCTTGTGATTGGATGGGAGAGTAGTGAAGCTTGAAGCAGCTATTTTGGCTTAGAGCAGGGGTCTCAAACTCCAGTCCTAGGGGGCCGGAGCCCTGTGTAGCTTAGTTCTTTCCATGTTCCACCACAAATGATTCAGCTCAAGAGCTGTGTGGTAATTAGCACAAGGAGTTGAATCAGGTGTGTTAAATGAGGGTGAACCAAAAACTGTGTAGGGCTCCGGCCCCCCAGGACTAGAGTTTGAGACCCCTGGCTTAGAGTATTTGACCCCCAAGTGTGAAAACAAAAACAATCATTATCAGTACTGAGCCAACCAATTGTTAGTAGGCTGTTTTTATAAGATGATGCTTTGTTACGAAACACTCATTGATCACTGAGAGAAGAATTTTATCAGTTGAAAGGCCTTGTTGTTCTGATGTTTAACTTGGATTACACAACTGATTTTTGTAGCCAGACTCTTTGAACTAAGTGAGGAACTGTCAGCTGAAGATTGGCTTAAGGGGGACCCCTCTACAGGGAGCCTGCCTCATACTGGGAAGGCCAAGTCAGTACCTTTAACCAGTATAATAGCTGGGCATCTCTGCTTCCAGGCAGGATAAGGACCCCAAGGAGGAATCTCTGAGGAGCATTAATCAGGCTGAGAAGGAGCTAGAAGAAATCAAGAAGATCATTGAGGATTCTGGTGGCAAATTGTCTAATAGGGACCTTCAGACTGAGGTGAGACACTGGAGAGGGAATATTCACCGAGTGTATTCAGTATTCTGAAATGGATACTGTGAATGTATGTCAGCATCAATATCGGGGCAAATTGAGCAGAATACATCCGTTAAAAGTACAGAGTCTCTTGTTTTTATTTAAAACAACTTCTGGTCACAAACACAATCCAGTGTTATTTTTGCCCTTGGTTTTTTAAGCCTTTGATAATGACTGACGTGTCCTACTTGCATAAGAAAGCGTAGAAGTCTTTTTAGCCTGTTTTTATGGTAAATTACAGTCTCCTGAAACGTATTAAGGCCAGACTTTGATTTATTGCTGTACTAAACTGGGACCCACAGAGCTGATCCCCCTTCAGTGATACCTCTGTTTACCCAGTGTTGTTGATGTATCGTCAGAGTACACTGCTGTACTGTGCCATACTCCAGACAGTACACTGCTGTACTGTGCCATACTCCAGACAGTACACTGCTGTACTGTGCCATACTCCAGACAGTACACTGTCCTCAAGGTCCAGGACTGAAACCGCATATCCATCCATGCCAAAACGGGGGCAATGTCTGGCTGTGCCTGTGATCAGAAGGTCGCTGGTTCAAATCCCGTGGTTGGTAGAGTGATGTCACTGTGGGGACCTTGAGCGAGGCCCCTAACCCCCAATTACTCTGATCTTGCTCTGGATAAGTGTCTGCTAAATTAGTAATGTTTAAAAATAAAACTGAAACCATAAGCATAAAGTTTTCGGACATGTTCTTAAGTTTTTCTGCTCCGCAGTATCCTGATTTTATTTATTTATTTTATATTATTATTTTTTTAAGCTGGAGTTTGAGAGGCGGAAGTCTGACGGGACAACCACGCTGGGGATCCTGAACCCGGCCGACCTCATGGCCGGAGGTGAGAGCACACATACACTCATCACGCCCTAAAAGGCCACTGAGTTTTTGGGTCGCCGCAGAATGGAAACGCCTGTCTGTCTTCCGCAGATAACGGCTACTGCCCGGTGAAACTGGGGATGATGATGGGGAAGCTGCACAGCGGCGTCAACACCCTGCAAGGCTTCAAAGAGGACAAGAGGAACAAGGTGACCCCAGGTGAGGCGTGACTGTACTTGGCACATGCAGTAGCAGGCAGAGCCATCCATACGGGGGAAGAAAGAGTAAGATTTTCAGTGGCCCAGACCCTAGGGGGCACCCGTGAGCGTAGATAACGGTAGCTTTGGTTTGCAGGGAGGGAAATTCGGTAGAATTTTTCAGGGCCTCAGCCATGTGTTTGTGCACCCCTGCTAATTGGTGACCTTCCCAGTGCCTGAAACACCCTCAGCTGTTTGCCAGTTGATATCCCATCCCTCTACGTCTCCTGTCCCTGTCAGTGTCACTTCCAGCCAACTGGCATCCTTTTCGTGTTCGAGATATAGTGTCGATGTCGGTAAATCTTACATCCTGTTTTCCTCTCGTCAATCTCAATAGTTCAGAAATAAGTAACATTGGGTGATTGATTTCTCTCCTACTGTCATCATAAAAAAGAAACAAAACATGAGGAATTACTATGATATGTTGAATCTATTTCATATACTAATGGTATACTTCAGTTGCAGAATTAGTTGCCTTGGGACTGTTGTCTCCTAAACCTTTGGCTTCCATTACATTTTTGGCTTTGTTTATTATTGTGTGTGTGTGTGTTTTTTATGTTGATTAATGTGCTTGTCTGTGTGTAACCCCATCCACCACAGTGGCCTATATGAACTATGGACCGTTCAGTTCCTATGCTCCAGTTTACGACTCCAGCTTCGCCAACGTGAGTAAAGAAGACTCCGACCTGATCTACTCCTTTTACGGCGACGAGTCCAGCCTCCAAGGTTCAGAAAGGTAGGCGGTGCTTCGTGGCACACAGACCACATCCTGCATGTGAAATGGTCTCCTTCTCTGGAGACAGTGCCAAAATCTTGGTCTGAATGTGTAGCTTCTGGACCTGAAATGCCCAACACTGAAAAGAGAACAATGCTACCTCATAACAACAGTGCCTGTCAAGGTATAGGGCAAGGTCTGGGGCAGGATTTTCCAGCCTTCCTTTACCTGTGAGCCAGGTATGAAGCCTCTGGCCAATCAGAATCAGTAATTATTAAACTAACTAGCTGGGAGAATGAAAACAAGGCCTGGATTCGGAATCGAGGGCCAGATTTGAATAGGGAAGGTTTAGGATATATTACAGTAAACTAACATTTGATACTTGTAGTCGAAATCTGGAATGCAGAAGAATTAGGCAAGGGCCACCAAGAATCAAGTCCAAGCTAACCAAGCTGAGCTGTTTATACCTTTTTTAAACTCCTCCATCGGGTTTCGCCTCGCCCCATGTCTTGCGATCTTATTGGCTGTAGCTCGACGCCGCACTGGAGTTGCTTACAGGTCCAGATATTTAGCCTACTAGGTATCTGACGGGCATTTGACACACAGAACTAATAGCGATCGAACATGCTATAACGTGGGCAGCCACAGAGTAGGGAGTGATAATCGAAGTCCATCAAGCTCTGTTGTACATGAATGTTGGTTTACTGTCTAATATATCCCAGACTGTGGCATGTGCCCTTCTTACGAGCACTGTGTGCTTCGTATGGAAGTGGCCATAATGTTTTGGCTGTGTATAATTTGAAAAATTCTGCCGAAAAGCAGCAAATTTTTTAAAATATTGCTTGAATTTGGTCGATATTTTTACTATCTAGCTCAGGCCTTCCTACTTAAACACACTATACACGTCGTCCATCTTGCAACGTTCCCGAGGTGACTGGTTCCCTCTAACCAGTCATGGCTTTGCATGCTTCTCAAGGTTAAATTAATAATTGATGCAGTTAGGATAAATTCAGCCTTAAAAGGGTAACTAAAAACCAGGTTTGTTTTCCAGCTTGTAGAGAGAGTGAAAACTGAGGAGTGAAAACTGCTTTGCAGAACAAAGTCCTCCATTTTAACAACTCGTATCAATATTGTTTCTGTAAAAACGTGAGGTTTTTTTTTGCCTTTGAAATTTATGATTTTTTTTTCCCTTTTGATTGGCAGCTTGTCTGAATCTCTGTCAAAGAGTGAAGAATACATGGGCAGATTAGCAGACAACATTTTGGATGCCTTGACACACGGGGAACACACAAAGGCATTGCTGGAAGTGAACACGGTGGGGACCATAACTTCTTACATTTTTATCTTTTTTTGGGCTCATTTCTGTTTCCTTATTCTTTATTGAGATTCCTTTTGTTCTCCCGAATCTTAGAATAACCAGGCAGATGACGATCCAGTAGGAGAAGAAACGATGAAAGATGTGGAGGTAAATCCCGACGAAGGTGGTTGATGTGCAGAGATGGCAGAGTTGTCCGTCATCCCTCTGTCCAGCCATTCCTAGGCCTGTCTTTACTGTAGAGCACAAAGTTTGTTCCCAGTCTGTGGTGACAAAGTAGTCGTTTAATGATTTCTAATAAATCCTTGTAGTTTCTGAAAAACTCGTACATTTCTCCATCATTGTGTGGCGATCACCCTTGCAGATAATTGAGGCTGAATCCAGCAGCAGAAGCAGCCTGACCTCACTGAACTCAGTGCTAGGGCTGGACCTCGAGCCCCCAAACTTCTCCTCTGAAGGTACCGGCAAAGAACTGACGTGATATCGCAGAATATAGCAAGGGGATCTGGGATGAACTGTACTCTTCTTTTGTGAATACCTATGATCATGTTGTTCCCCAGATGATTGACCACTTTGGTCAACCATCGTTTCTTTCTGCTTGCTACAATAAATTTTGTAGCTTTAAGTAATAAGCACTTAATTTCTGTATACTGCTAAGTGTGAAAGTCTGGGAGAAGTCAGTGATTCAGTCACTTAGTAACAGATTAACAATGAATTTCTACTATATTTGCCAGTCTGGAATTAAGTAAAAGCATGACCACATAAAAAGTCAATTTTAAGTCTCCAGAAGGTAGAAAATGTAATTCAAGGGGAACTACAAAAGTTCAAAAAAGAAAAAACAATGATCATAGCAGACTTGCTCCATGATCGCTGTTCCAGTTGAACCTTTAGGAGGTCATAACCTCACAGTAAACTCCCAGAATATCTCCATGCCAGAGAAAATCAGCGAGTACTTATGGCTGGTTGACGTCATTCATGTGTCACAGATGCCAGGCAGTTCCAGCAGAAGCTGGATGAGACCACCATGCTGCTGCGGGAACTTCAGGAGGCCCAGAATGAGCGTCTGAGTGCCAAGCCACCCCCCAACATGATCTGCCTGCTGGCCCCCAGTGCCAGGGAAGTGGAGCTGGGTATGATCGCCTCTGTCCATCCTGTCTCCCCCCTTTTTCATGGGGCCTGTTGGGTCCTATGCAGTGGACAGTGGCCACTGGTCTGTGCCCACATCTGACCTGCACTTCTCCTCCCGCAGCTGAGAAGGTATCAGGGAATCTGGCACACCTGGCCAGTCAGGTTACGCCGGGTGACGTGAGCAGCGTGTACGGGATCAGGAGGGCCATGGGGATTTCACTGCCCTCTGGTGGACTGGAGGAGAATCTCATCGACCTCACTACAGGTCAGCTCCTTGGTACCCGCACATGTGAGTGCGCACGGACACACACACACACAGACCTGTACTCATTTCTGTGGGCAAAACCCTAATCTCAAAAATGACACCCTTAACCCCTAACCAGCCCTAACGTTTTTAGTTTTTTGATTGCAGTCTGATTTTTATGGAATTGAGTTTTACTGAAAAGCTGGTCCTCACAACATGAAAACAGGTTTTTATCACATTGTAGGGTCATTTCGTCCCCACAATGTAAAGTATATCTGACCCACACACACTGCAGAGCACCATGGTTAAAACTTTGTGCTTCTCCTCTCTTTTTGTATTTGTCATTAATGTTTCACACTTTATGTAGTATTTGCTATTATACAGTTGTCAAAACACATCAAATGAGTCCAAGTCCAAGAATCCAAGGTCATACTAGGAGTCCAAGTGTAGATACCAAACAGTAGAAATGCCCGGACTGAGAGTGTGTTTTCTGTCTCAGTGTCGGACGTGGCAGAGCCAGCGGATGCCTTGCCAGCGAGGGAAGAGGAGATGATCCCCACCATAGCAGTCTGACACTGGCTGAAGGCCTTTATGAACAGGGAGAGCTTTAAATGCTGTTGTACAGAGGGTACTTTTTATGTTTCTAAGCATTTTACAAAATAAACCCCTTTTTTAAATAACATGTGTTTTCTAATGCGGTATTTATTAAATTAGATAGGAATTCTGTACCTTTGTCATGTTAGATTTTTACTGCTGTTATTATAAAAAAAAAAAAAAAAAAGTGGACAGATGGCGAAGAGCACCTGAGGTCAGGCATCAGCTATCAGGCTTTAATCTTTTTCTGATCTTTTTTTATATGTGCTTGACAGTATTTGGCAGAAGGGTCTATTTCACATCCTTTGTTGAGTTGTGCACAGGAAATGTGTGCCTCTTCCCAGCCTGGCGGCCATATAAACGGTGGCAGACGTTTTACCCGCGGCAAGGATGGAAGCCCTATACCCAGCACAGCTTCAATACACGTTTGGGTTTAACCGACACTGAAAAGCTTAAAAATAAAACGGGAAAAAATTCCACAAGTATTACAAAAATATTAGATCTTTTACTTACATTTTAATTAGACTGCAATGTTAGTTTTCGGGGTTTTTCTACCACCAGCATTTTATTTTTTCTATGTTGAAATGTCATTCCACAAGATTTATGAAAAAATGACTGTTTCTGATAACGAAACATTTTTCACATCGTCTAATCTGCACATTACACAGTAATAAAACAGAGCCTGCTAGTTTTAAAGCTGACTGCTCGGTCATTTAAGGAGTTTGGCTTAATTTCCAGCTACCTAGTTCGACACTGGAGCAAACTTCTGAGGAGTAAAAAGGTTAAAAAAAAAAAAAAAAGAGTAAAAAGACTAAGGTAATTATTAAATAACCCACTGCTCTATAAAAGTCACGGTAGTGACGGAAATGGGCCCTCGCATGTAAAATGCAGCATTTCTGTACACTTGTTATTGGAATATGCTACGATAAGCTTTTCGAAATTCAGCAAAACTGCTTCAGGACATAATTACGATGAGGCTTTCCTTCCTCCTCTGCAGCTCATGCCATCCCGCTTTTTCCTTCCACATGCTCCGTCAAGCAAATATTTTCAGTTCCATTTCCCCCTGTTTGTGTCTGCCTGTCCGCCCACCTGGCTGCCATCATTGAGGCCCAGGCCCAGGGATTTGCTCATGTCTGTGCACACAAAAAAGGTCTTGAGCTCTCCTTTGCCCTTCACAGTGATGAAGCCCCGGCACTCGCAGGAATAGCCCAGCCTTTGCAGCACGTTGCACGTCTCCTCCGTCACCTGGCCCAAGACATCACAACAGCTTATTTAGCAGACGCTTTCATCCAAAGCAAAGTACGGTTGAGCCAATCCCTGAAGCAACTGGGGCTAAGGACCCAATGGTGGGGTCACTGTCCACCTTGGGATTTGTCCTTCTGATCATGGGCATGGCATCCTAACCCACTCACACAGTGCCCAAGACATGGCATCCTTCACCATAACAGTAATAAAACACCATACACTAAAATAAACTGACAAAATCAGATGAGCATTTGTCAGTCAAATTTAAAAATTACATAACATCTGTATTCCACTAAATACCATCGGCAAGTTTGACTCCCTTGAGTTATGTCACTGGCTCTGGTGCTGCTAACATTGAATATGAACTACAGTCTAAATATTGGCCAGCAATATCGGCTAAGGTTGACACAGTGGACCAATACTGAAGTTTAGATTTTTATTGAACATCAGTCAGTATTGATATGACTGGAATATCGTGTCTAGTAAAGACTACTGAAGACCCCATGTTCTGACACAGGGTTGGTGCAGAGGAAATCACAGTCTGATGCAAATTTGTCCAAAGGTTTTCTGCTGTACCTGGATCTTGCCCAGTTCTCCGGTGCTCTCCATTCTGCTGGCCACGTTCACTGTGTTGCCCCAGATGTCATACTGTGGCTTGTTAGCTCCGATCACACCTGCGATCACTGGCCCGTGATTGATTCCTGCCATATTATATCAGAAGAGCACAGAGTCGCCATGAGAGGATTTCCTAAGCAATAGCCATGATACAAGGATCTTATTTCCAGATTAATGTTCTCATTTATCATACTCAATCACAGCAAACAAAGCAAGCTGGCTCATTGGCTTATCTATGATCCTAGGTGGTTTGCATGGTGACAGGACAAGAAATGCTCACCGACACGCAACCGGAAGCTGTTGAATGAGTGCCTGTTGATGCCGTCCAGCTTGCCTACCAGTGCAACGGCAAACTCAACCATGTTCCCAATCTGTGCGAGCTGCTTTTCCTGATCCTGTGTGCAAAAAAGCCAAAAAGTCACACTCAGCATAACATTTTTTTTCGTTGACATATTTAAGAGCAAATTTCAAAGACTCAGTCCATTTTTGTTGTTTTCGAGATGAGATCAATAACCAGGCTCATATGTTACAGTATTGGGAACCGAAACTGCCTCAATCCTCATTAAGAACTTTTGTTAAATTTCCAAAAGTCCACAGAAATATTTAGCAAAAACCTATCCCATGGACTGAATGAGTTTTGGAAATTTGCCCTTCAATTGCACTTTATCAAGTACAGATTTCATTTGCCAGTAATCACCAGAAATTCATGCTTGAGCAAAAACCGACCAAGACTAGCTTTTCTTCTGACTAAGTCCCCTACTGTTCCATATAATCAGGACCGTAAACAAACCTGGTTATTTTCTTGACCTGGTGTTCCACTTAGCCCAGCAGCAGCCATGTAGGTGCTGCCAATAGTTTTAATTTTCTCGACCCCGCTGAACTTAGGCTTGGATAGCACCTGTGGAGATGACAATGGGACAGATTCAAATGCAGCAGACCGTCATGCCTCCGTGGGAGTCAGTCTGTACTTTCAGGAAAAGCTAACCTCGTCGAAGTCTGCGATGATCTCATTGAGCAGCCGGAGACACTCCAGACCCTCCTTGTTGATGTCACATTCTGTGTAGAACTCCTTGAAGTCCGGCACCGAGGCGAACATCACACACACACAGTCATACGATTGGTAGTAGAGATCCTGAAAGGGGAGACATGTCAACAGGATGGACCCATCAAATATGATCATTGATAGAGGCCATGATGACTGGAAGACCTGCTATTACAAGTAGGTCACTTCCACTATTGACCGCATTAAGAATACTTTCCATAATACCCAGAAATGTGGAGAAGCTATATAGAAAAACAAAGTTTCCACAAAGCCCTCATGTGATAAAATCAAATCAAGAACCTCTGGTACATCAGTCTCCAGATGAATTTAAATGCCTCTGACAACCAACAGACCTTTGTTGTTTGTTTGTTTGTTTGTTTGTTGTTTAAGAGCTAACAAAAAAACTGGGACCCTGTCTTATGTCGTGTTTCCTGGGATAGGGTCCAGACTCACCCCTGGCCTAGAACTGCAGATGTGGAAGTAGGATGGATGGACAACTAAGACTGTTATATCGGAAATCATATTTTTTGAAAAAAATAACTGGTTGTAGGCAGGCCATTATGAAAATTGGCAATCAGTATTTCATTTCTGTACCAGATTCTTTTGTCCAAAGCGACTTACATTTTTTGAGAAAGCAGGCTTAGACAATCCCTGGAGCAACTGGGGGGTTAAGGGAGTTCACTGCTTCGTTATACCATTACTGTATATAGGCCTTTCCTCTTTTAGCTACAAATCTGTAAATACCAGCCTTACACAAGGCCAATGCCATAATTGCCCGGTGGTTGTATATGTAAATGTTACATTTCTACTTCTCCAATTTCTTCATATACACTACATGGACAAAAGTATTGGGACACCTGGCCATTACACATACAAGAACTTTTATTGTAAATCCATAGCAATCAATATGGAGCTGGTCCCCCCTTTGTAGCTATAACAGCTGCCAATCTTCTGAGAAGCCTTTCCACAAGATTTTGGAGTGTGTCTGTGGAAATATTTGCCCTTTCATTCAGAAGAGCCTTTGTGAGGTCAGGCACTGATATTGGGCAACCAAGATGGGGTTGAGGTCAGGGCTCCGTGTGGGTCAGTCAAGTTCTTTCACACCAAACTCACCCAACTGTGTCTTTATGGACCTTGCCTTGTGCACTCATGCACAGTCATGTTAGAACAGAAAATGGCCTTCCCCAAATTGTTCCCACGAAGCTGGGAACATGATGATTTGCCCAAAATGTCTGAAGCATTAAGAGTTCCCTTCACTGGAACTAAGGAGCCCAGCCCCTGAAAAACATCCCCATACCATTATCCCTTCTCCACCAAACTTGACAATTGACACAATACTGTCAGAAAGGTAATGTACTGGCATCTGCCAAACCCAGACTCGTCCGTCAGACTGTCAGACAGAGAAGCGTGATTTGTCACTCCACAGAACACATTTCCACTGCTCCAGAGTCCAGTGGGGGCTTGCTTTACACCCCTCCATCTGATGCTTGCCATTGCATTTGGTGATGTAAGGCTCGCATGCAGCTGCTCAGCCATGGAGGCCCATTCCATGAAGCTCCCGGCACACAGTTTTTTGGGCTGGGATTAATGCCAGAGGCAGTTCGTAACTCAGCAGTTATTGAGTTAACACTTGACTTTTATGCACCATGCACCTCAGCACTCAATGACCCCGCTGTTACTTTACGTGTACTTTATGGGTTTCCAAAATGCTGCCACTCTGTAATAATACCACTTACAGTTGACTATGGAATATCTAGCAGGGAAGAAATTTCACAAACTCACTTACTGCAAAGGTGGCATCCTATGACAGCACCATGCTTGAATTCATTGAGCTCTTCAGAACGACCCATTCTTCCATAAATGTTTGTAAACCTGACTGTAAGACTAGGTGCTTGATTTTATACACCTGTGGCAATGGGTCTGAATGAAACACCTGAATTCAATGGTTAACAGGTGTGTCCCAGTACTTCTGTCCATATAATGTTCTACACTTGTCCCCCATTTAAATATTCCTTTATCATACCTCATTCTTCTTGTTCTCCCCCACGAAGACCGCAGCCACATTGGCAGGCAGAACATTCTCTAGCATCAGTCGATTTAGATTCTCCTTAGTCTCGATCTCATCTTGCTTAGTGCGGTTCTTATTTTTCAGCAGGAAATCCTTGCGGCAGCAGTATTCGTTCTAGTGTGGTACAGAGAGAAAAATGAGATGAGATTTCCTAGAAGGTGGCCTTCGTTGGACTGAGCACCTGTGTAAGGCTCGGAGGAGGAGACTGTCTCACCTGTCGAATGATTAAGAACATGGTAATCAAGAAGAGTGCGGCGTAAATATAGCTCATCGACTGGGGGTGCTTCATTAATCCAGATTTGAGCAAGACCTCACTGTTACCCATGCAAAGAAATACATGTTGACTAAGGTCAGTCACAGTATAAAAAGCAGTAATTTAACCTTAGGATGATGTGACCAAGAAATTCACCTGCTATTAACGTGGTACAGGATACAGCCGTAAGACTGGAAGAGGTCGTTCTGTGATTTGAAGATGATCTCGTAGAATAAGCCGAAAGCCAGGACAATTAGTAGCACTGTAAGCTCAAAGCTTACCCCAAGGAACACTCCGCATGCAATCAGAGCCAGTATACAGCAATACACGAAGTACTGCAATCAAACACAAGAAACACATGGGCTGCTGACTAGGTCCACGGTAGGGAATCAGAACAAAATCAAAAAAAAAATCTGCCTGGAAAATGAGCATGCAAGTAAGGAGATTTTCAGGAATGGAGATATTTTTAGTCTGAATATTTTTATGAAGAATCATTCCAAAAAGGTTTAACCATAACATCACAAGCTGTTTATTGCAATGTGCTCTTGATATTCTTTAAAAGTGTTACTCACAGGCAGACAGAACAGACCACAGTCTGTGTTCAGACGGTTGCGGGTGATGTTCCAGATGATCTGGTCGACTCCACAATCAGTAGAACTAGATTTGTACAGTTTCTAGGAATTAAAATAATTCGGAATTAACTGTGTAATTAAAAAGAGTAAGGTGTGGAACTTCAGATAGCAGTGTGTGATGGTAATTACCAGATTTAAGACAGCCATAATGAGGATGACAGTCATAGAGACGATGGTCAAAGTTAGCCGTACACATGGTTTCTTCCCCACTGTCTCGGACACCACAGTCAGCCAATGGCACGACGCCAGCTTCTCCGGGAAACACAGCTGAATGTTTGAGGATGCCACAGGAGAAAATAGGAGATGTGGAGAGTGGGGGGGGGCAGGCAAGGAATGATGGGAAAAAAATTAAATACCTCCCAGAGAAAGTTTTGCTCTGTTCTCTGCGTGTTTTGAACAAAAACAATTGTCCTCAGGGTGATACATATACTGACCTGCAGGTGACCAGCAAAACACACCCCAAGGATCAGGAGGAGGACACAAGCAAGAACGCCAACAATCATACCCAGCTGCGTACGCCTGTGGGACGGGGCCAATCAGAATATCAGCTACAACGTCAGACTAAAGAACACAAGTTTCATCATACAAGAATTACAAAAATAATTAGCAAGTAAACACATAGTTGTCCTCAAACTTCTAAATGCTCAAATTCTATTATTAAATGCATTGAATTCAGTGAAAATTATAAGCATGCATATTCATTAATGTTCTTGTCATTTGGTTTTTTCATGTATTGGAACTGGTTGTGCATGTTACCAAATGGTAAGTGCTAAACAGCTCTAGCATAGTAACTTCCTAGAAGTCAGAAAAGACACTGACTCTTGTGCCACCAACAACTGGATCAGGAAGATGCAGAAGAAGATGAAAGAGGCACAGGCAATGAAGTACTTGAAGTTGGGCAACTCAATAGCTCGGAACTGGAAACAGAAAGACAGGAACACGTTAGTATATTACCACGGGAAGTGAAACATGAGAAGTATCACAGTCAGACTGACAGAGAAGTGGGGGTGACTGCTTTATAACAACAATGTTTTTCTCTGATCTGGAAAAAACACCTTACTTGGAAAAATCAAGTAGAATAATCCCTGACTCTCATGTAACACTTCTTGTAATAAAGGTACCTGCTTCTCAAGATCCCTCTTGGTGAACCACAGAGTTATGCTGTTGAACTCCTCCGAATTTACCCAGTCCCTGAAGAAGAGAGGAACACAGGAGTCATAACTTAATTACATTTTTAAAGCTTTAAAGGTTTATCTGATGGCAATTTATAAATGTGAAATTACAAACAGGTACACATGGAGGATATCTACTCCAGTCACGATGTATCTCCTGAACGTCTTTAAAACTCCAAGATGAGATAAAATTTTATGTTGAAACACAACTGTCAGCGAGACTTGACTGTATGTTTAAAACTTCAGATCTCATAATCTGGGCTTGCAGAGGTATCTGTACTTAAGTATACACTTGCTGGTCATCTCATCAATGGTTGAGGTCATCATATTATGGAGGTCTTCATCAAACTTCTGGGACTTGATCCTACATTGCAAAACATAGGTGCATTTGGAAGTAGTAGATGAATCAACTGTCCATCACAGGCCGGTAACTCCTGCCCTAGCTTTCTGTGCAAAGGGCCAGCTATGGGTGTTTGCTTATATATGTGCATGCGCAGATGTATTAGTGTCCAGTGTGTTACATTTTTCTGTGTATGATGTCATCTAAATCAAGGGGAAAGCAGTGGGTTTAGGGTGAATGAGCTCAGTCGTTGCATTCAAACTGTGAATTTTAGGGTGCGTCCTTACTAGAAGGGTAATCCTCCTTACCTTTCAGTTACTTTTGAAGAGGGCATCGATTGCTGGGATATATCCTGAGAAGGAGCATAACCTTTTTTATTCATAGCGTACAACATCAGTACCCATCTGCAATCCAGCTCAGGTTGGTCAGTAAGAAAGTCACATATACAATACAAAATGTTTTAACTGGGAGTCAATAGATCGGAGCCATTCACTGAATTAAGGCTATTAGTATATTCTTCATATATTCTTACTCGTGTTATATTTCATCACAAACACATTGACTGGTCCACCAGGCATTACAATTAGCAAGCTTAACATAGCATTAAATTGTAGACTCATTGTCTTCTCTAGAAGACAGGACAGGAAATACCAAACCACTTACAGGGCGCAGTTTGCCGTTGACGAGAACATCCATGATGTGGCCTTCGCGGCTCTGCAGGTGGGCAAAGGGCTTTACAGCCCCCCACGACTCCAAGTAGCGCGTCATCCGCACGGAAGCACGCATCTTCAACCCGTCGTTCACCCGCGGCTTTGGCAGGTTCTGCTGATCAGCGCCTGGCTCCTTGGACTAAATGGAGGTTCCACATAAACACTGTTCTCATTTATTCATCGTTGAGGTATAAAGGTATTATCAATAAGAACCAAGAAGGCCATACCCTGGGATCGATGACCAAATACGTCTTGATGTTCTGTTCCTTCAGATAGGGGTCCCTCAGGTGCCCATTCGCCTCCTCAACCTCATAAGCCTTGTTGAGGTGTTTCAGGGTAGACTCTGTGACGTGCACCCGTCTGCCAAAGAACACGCCACACCAGGTACATCGTAAACAAGATTTAAATAGATTTCCACTTCCCGTTGTCAGCAGCAGCAGATCAACATCCTGGCTAGTTCACTATAGTAAAGGTTGCTATCTAAATCATCCACCCACCCTTCTTCCCAGGGTTGTGCAATTTTTAAATACAAACCCAATATGACCTCAAAAGACAAAATAATTTTTAAAGCAGAACAAACCCACACATTTCAGAAGTCTTACCCAGGTATACCTCCAGACTCCATGTGATTAGCCAAGGTGACATCATGTGACCACACGTCAAACTGCCACTTACGGAGGCCAATGACCCCACACAGCACGTTACCAGAATGGACGCCTACTCTCATGCTGATGTCCACGCCAGTGGCATCCCGAACCTGCCTGTGGCAGAAGCAGGAATAGTGGGCCATTTGAGAGTCATGCAATCAAGCAATCACCAGTTATGATATTTCGATTGTTTGACATAGCAGTACCATGTGCCATATCTAGATCTACATTTAAATCCACAAATCAAAGCCTTATTCATAAATACACATGCAATTGCCAAAGGCCTATATGTCAATGGTTGTGATTTGTTGATACCTAATCACCAACAGCAGATACTGACCCATGAAATGTAGGACTGCATAAAAATGTTAAAATCCATCTCCTGTACCCATATGCTCAATTTCAGTAACATAGGTAATGTACTAAACTCCTAGATTATTTGCTTTATGAGGCAGAGAAAGCGTGGTTGTACTCTAGTATTTAGTAGCATCACCATGGAGATGCAAAGAAGCCACTGTCACTTCAAGCTGTTTGAGTAAATCAGTGTCTCACTTAAGGGCCCCAGGCCGGCACTTACTTAATGGCCTCACACATGTCCAGGCCCATTTTGACGCAGTTCTCAGCATGCTTGGGCAGAGAGACAGGGAGTCCCGAGACACAGTAGTAACAATCGCCAAGAATCTTTATCCTCATGCATTCGTTGTCCTGTGGAAAGGAGCAGAATCAGCGTGTGAGTCTCCCTTACAGGCCAAAGTGACAAAACACATATGTCGATTCATCAAGAAAAAAATATGGCAATGTCTACTGGCATAACAGTTCAACGAATTGGTGAGAAATGATGAGGACAGAGGATGACCATCGTATCCCCAAAACGTAACACTCACCTTGGCAATCTGGTCAAACTTCCCGAAGAGCTCATTAAGCATGATGACCAACTCCTTGGGCGAGCATTCGCTGGCCAGCTGGGTGAAGCCCACGATGTCGGCATACAGGATGCTACAACAAAGAGACGAGGACCATAAATAAACCCCCCGACGCGTAGGGGGTCTCTGAACTACACACCCCAGCTTATTGGTGTTGAGTAAACAGTTGCCCATTGAGAACGAAGAGTATGAGTAACACTAGCAGTGTCAACTGGGCAATTACCACAAGTATGATTGCCTGAGTAATAGGTGCCAGAATGAGGTTTAAAAGGTATGCTCTCTCACAAAAGAACGATAACTCCGCTATGCATAAGGTTCTCACACATCCTTGTGGGAACCTGGCACCGCAATGAAGTGCTGTTAATCATTTACCAAATCATGTGCCAAATTGCAGCCCTGGTGGTAACACTTATAAGTGGCTATTGGGCACCTCAGACTGCCTGCTCCAGCTTGAGAACATGACCTGACTGCCCATTTCCAGGCATGAACGCAGCTGCCAACTCTCATAAGTCTCCTGCCCACTTATACAGTCTTTAAAAAATACAGGAAACAGTACAACCATTTATCTGATTAGAAAAACAAACAGAAGTAACAGAAAACTGAAAAGAACTTCATTCCAGTTCCTCTCAGATCTTATTTATACAGATGGGGGCTGCAATGCTCTGTTCCCCCAGGGGCACTATGAACTATCTTACCACGTCTACTCCGTAAGCCATGAGCTCACAGGCGCCGGCCTGAGAGAACAATGCTGTGGTCCCACTAAAAAACGCCACGCCTGACAATGATCTACTTTCACTTTCCATCGTCAGCAGCGGCAGATATTTGCAACAGACGCCGGAGGTTAATTATGGTCTGGAATACAAACAGCACTGGCAGACATCAGTTAAAAAACAGAATTTGAATTTTTTTTTATGTCTAGGTATGTTTGACCAGCGTATAAAGAAGATGGATGGATGGATGGCTCCTCCGTTACCAATTATCCAGTATATGCCCAAGGTGTATGATTCTATAAAATTTGCCAGTCGGGTGGGGGGGCTTGGTATTTTTCTACACCATGGAAATGATCAATTCACTATTACTGTCTTCAAGACTGACCTGTCGATCGTGATCAACCAGTTGCCCACCGCTGATATAGTGTCTTTAATTAAAGGTTCAGCTCACGCATTCAGTTATAAGAATTGTGTTTAGTTACTTCACGGTGAGGTAGAAACCATAAACAGCTCTATGTCTGACCACTGATGAGCCTGAACTCATCAGTAACGTTCGTGGCATCCAGAAATGCAGGAATGGGCACCGTTCTCCGGGCTGCACACCTGACGTTCTTGTGCCTCTTGATGTACAGGCTGTGGAAGTTGTTGTCCTTCACCAGGCACTGCTGCTCCTGCAGTCGCTCCATGATGGCCAGTCTCATCCCCATGGAGATGTAGATTGGCAGCACTGACATCAGCAGGCTTTCCTGGATACACGCACAAAGGCATTTAGCTACAGACTGTCAGGCAGACATTAATGCCATAGACCCCATTCACTTTATTTACGATTGCTGTAATAGACAAGTTCATACAGGGGTTTCATTGTTCTGATGTTTTAATTTAGGCTGATGTGACTTTATTCTTAAATAAAAAAGTCAAAGCAATTACAAAGATATCCAGTATAAATTGCAGAGAGGGTGGAATGTTAGGGTACTCCTGAAAATGTTCCTATCCTCAGCTGAATTTATTTCCACTTATGACTTTTTTCATTGTAAATGGCACCGCACCAGCCTGGCTACAGACCACAGGTTCTGCTCCAGCAGCAGGGAAAACGTTTCCAATGTAGTCAACCATCTCCAGTTTCAAGCCCTCCACCCTTTCATTAAACTCTGAAGCCTGAAAAGTCACGTGGAGAGAGCCAGCGGTAACTGAGCCCGTCCACCTTGTCAGATGTTTCCAGAGCTGCAAACAATGGAACAGTTCTTCTCCTGGGGCCTATCACGGTCCTTCCTGCGCTCAAGGGCCTGCTGCTAAGGTCTGTCTGATATCAGGTCTAATCCGCTAATGCCCACCTACTCCAACCATGACCTTAGTCAACAGAGCTTCTGTTCACATTGTCACCAGCTATTCCAACCTTCCTGCCTAAAGAAAGCTTCTTCTATTCTGTTTGAGGTTTAGTTCACGTTAAAGTTCTGGTAACTCATAATGAACCACAGAAAAGCCTCATCCAGGCTGCGATATCAAAGATACGTAAATGTCGCACACACAAAAATACACAATCATCTCAACTAAAGGTCCCACCATCTCAACATGCATATAAGATTCATTTGTATATTACACTCTTTATATTAGGTCACATAGCTACAATTTTCTACTACAAAGTCTTGTATTTTTCTTGTTTTTTAAATTTAATTGTGCAGCTATTGAAATTATAAAATGGGTGCCTTTATTACCAAGCTACCATTATCCCCCGCTGCACAATTATGATGTCACTGATTTCTGTAATAATTATCAAAGCAATATGTATGGAAATGGCACAGCTATGCCAGAGCTACGCCCTAACAGTCCAGGAAAAATGAGACAGCAAGGAGGTAGTCTGGTGTAGGAGTGTGAAGTTCTGGTTAGGGTTAGGGTTAGGGTTAGGAGTATGAGGTGGTGTGTAGGCTGTGAGGTTGTAGGCTGTGAGGCTGTAGGCTGTGTAGGCTGTGATCAGGGGCCTGTACTACGAAGCGGGGTTACTGGCTTATCAAGGTAACTTGTCGGATTTAAGGTAGTCTGGGCAAAATGTAAGTAAAAATATGAAGTCCATTTAAACTGTGGTACCTTAAATCCTACAAGTTACCCCGATAAGCCAGTAACCCCGCTTCATAGCACAGGCCACTGGTATAGGAGTGTGAGGTTCTGGTTAGGGTTAGGGTTAGGGTTAGGAGTATGAGGTGGTGTGTAGGCTGTGATCTGGTTTAATAGTGTGAGGTGGTGGTTAGGGGTAGTAGTGTGAGATGGTTAAGGTTAGGGTGAGATGGTGGCTCAGGTAGTAGTGTGAGGTGGTGGTCAGTAGTGTGAGGTGGTGGTTAGGGTAGTAGTGTGAGGTGGTGGTTAGGGTTAGGGTGAGGTGGTGGCTAGTGTAGTTGTGTGAGGTGGTGGTTAGGGTAATAGTTTGAGATGGTTAGGGTTAAGGTGAGGTGGTGGTTTAGGTAGTAGTGTGAGGTGGTGGTTAGGGTAGTTGTGTGAGATGGTGGTTAGGGTTAGTAGTGTGAGGTGGTGGTTAGGGTAGTTGTGTGAGATGGTGGTTAGGGTGAGGTGTAGAAGGTGCGTCCGACTTCCATTCACCTGCTGCCTCTTCTCAGTCTCCAGCTTCACGCAGATCCTCAGTGAGTGCAACATGTCCTGAAAGGTCTGCCGTAGGGCTCTCTCCATGAGCACCTTATGGAAGATGCCCACGGCGCTGACGCACAGGAACAGCACGCAGTTGGCCATTATCTGGACCAACAGATTCTGCGAAGACCCCACACAGGCAAGACGCATCACAGACCTGCAGCACTGACTGGCCAGTGAGCACACAGAGGCAGAAACCCACCAGCACAAACCCCAACCTATCACAGACATCTGCTGGATGTGCTTAAGTTAACTGACACAATCAGCACTTTCACACTAAGTGGGCTTTTTAAATGCCTCATTTAAGAGTATAATCTCATGTATAGGGTATAATTATTCACAGTTATGGATAACAAGTTAAGCGGTATGTTACACAATAGTGAACAAAACATGGCGCTCAGCAATGGTGACTGTGAAAGCCTACCAGCCCTTGTACCTCCATAGAGTGTGAAGGGGAGCTGAAGAGGTAAGCGCTGAGGGCTACGACATGAGACAGCCAGGAGATTGCGCTGAGAACGATGGCGTGCAGCATGCGGAAAGGCAGCATGGTGAACACGGCAAAGATGATGAAGAGGAAGAATGGAACCTGGAAGAAGGACCAGAAAAATATAAACAGAATGCTCATGGGAGTTTAATTTCCACGTAAATGTTCTGAGGAGAGAAGAAAAAATGATTAGTTCAGAGAAACAACCAATGACATTGTAGAAGCGGTGGGTCCAAGTAACTAGAGGAGGCGGGCCCAACCAATCAGATGTCTTTGTTCCACCTCATCTGAACCAATCATTTTTCCTTCCGCCCTCAGAACATTACTGCGCACGTAAAACTCCAATGAACGAATAGAACAGAATAGTGACGTATTCATTGTGAATTAAATTAAACAGAACTGGAGATGGAGTCGTACACCAGAGGGACAGCACAGACACAGAGGTACATAGTCAGTGCTTTCTGGTGAGCCATCGTCATTGTGTCACACAGGGCTATAGGAGAAGCCTGGAGCCAATCCCAGGCAGCACAGGGCAGGAATAGACCCTTGGGCAGGATGCCAGTTCTCAGAAATACTTTAGTTTAATTCTAATTATAGTTATAAATGTCCTTTTCCTGAACTTGCAGTTCTACACTTAATTAATCTTTTTACGTTGAGTTTAAACTGGAAAAACTGATGTGAGTACTTAAAATCACAACCATGCCGTTGTCTGGAGTAGCGATGGGTGAAATGATGCTTTGAAAGCCGCAGCGGGCGGAACAACCCCAAGCTTTCAATAATTGGCCGGTGATTGATTGATAGGTTGAAAACAACCAATGGGAAATGTCAACTGGTGACTGACAGCACATGGGAGTGTCACACACTGTACGTTCTAACAGCTCATTTCTTTCGCCGCTTGTTCGTACGCCAGCTCATTAACTATCACATAACCTGCTGAGAAACTCATGGTACAGGGAAAGAAGCAAGGATGGAACACCATGGTGTGATGAGGTCTTAGTAGGAGGCCAGGAGACAGAGGATAGTGTACCTGGTCCCAGGCGCAGATTTTGTCCCGACTGAAGATAAAGGTGAAGCCCATAGCGATGAGGATCGCCCAGACCAAGGCTCCCAGTACCTTCATCCAGCTCTGAGGCAGGACCTCGCTACACACCAGCAGAAGGGCGACCAGGAAGATGCAGAGGCCGCAGCTGACCACACTGACGAAGGCTTTGTGTTCGGCGGTGTCCTGTGGGTGGGGGGCAGACACCATCAACAGACACGCAAACACCGAAGCCAAAAGACCTTGGACACATGCAGATGAAATAGGGACACAGGCGTACTCAGACGTGCAGAAACAGATGAAAAGCCAATCAGACACATTGCAAGAAGCTCACACAGACACTACAACAGATGCTGTGGACATGACTAAGGTGACCTCAATGAAGACCGATCGGAAACAACAAACAAACAAGACTTTAGGTTTCTGTATGAGGTGTGACATTAGGTAAAACAGATTTTGTTGCTAAAAAAAACACTCCAAACAAATAACTTTGCACTTCTACAAGTTCAGTGTGCATAAAATCCCAGATTCCTCATACAACCATTACAAAACCATGGCCATAAGTTTTGAGAATGACACAAATATTTGTTTTTACAAAGTGTGCTGCTTCAGTGCTTGTCGATCTTTCTGTCAGATGTTTCTGTGGTATAATGAAGTATAGTTACAAGCATTTCACAAGTGTCAAAGGCTTTTATTGACAATTACATTAAGTTAATGCAAAGAGTCAATATTTGTAGTGTTAGCCCCTTCTTTTTCCAAGACCTCTGCAATTTGCCCTGGCTGCTGTCAATCAACATCTGGGCCAAATCCTGCCTGAGCCCATTCTTGCATAATCAATGCTTGAAGTTTGTCAGAATTTGTGGGTTTTTGTTTGCCCACCCGCCTCTTGAGGATTGACCACACGTTCTCAATGGGATTAAGGTCTGGGGAGTTTCCTGGCCATGGACTGAAAATGTTGATGTTTTGTTCCCCGAACCACTTAGTTATCACTTTTGCCTTATGGCACGGTGCTCCATCATGCTGGAAAAGGCATCGTTCATCAACAACTGTGCTAGGATGGTTGGGAGGAGTTGCTCACGAAGGATGTTTTGGTACCATTCTTTATCCATGGCTGTGTTCGTAGGCAAAATTGTGAGTGAGCCCACTCCTTTGGCTGAGAAGATACCCCACACATTAATGGTCTCAGGATGCTTTACTGTTGGCATGACACAGGACTGATGGTAGCGCTCACCTTTTCATCTCCGGACGATCGTTATTCCGGATGCCCCAAGCAATCGGAAAGGGGATTCATCAGAGAAAATGACTTTACCCCAGTCCTCAGCAGTCCAATCCCTGTACCTTTTGTAGAATATCAGACTGTCCCTGATGTTTTTCTTGGAGAGACGTGTTTTCTTTACTGCCCTTCTTGACACCAGGCCATCCTCCAAAAGTCTTCACCTCACTGTGCATACAGATGCGCTCACATCTGCCTGCTGCCATTCCTGAGCGAGCTCTGCACTGGTGGTGCCCCAATCCTGCAGCTTAATCAACTTTAGGAGACGGTCCTGGCACTTGCTGGACTTTCTTGGGTGCCCTGAAGCCTTCTACACAACAATTGTGAAGCCCTTTTTGTGCAAAGCAATAATGACTGCACAGTTAACAGCGGAAGAACAGTGATTTCAAGCACCACCCTCCTTTTAAAGCATCCAGTCTGCTATTCTAACTCAATCATCATGACAGAGTGATCTTCAGCCTTGTCCTCATCAACACTCTCACCTGTGTTAACGAAAGAATCACTGAAATGATGTCAGTAGGTCCTTTTGTGGCAGGGCTGAAATGCAGTGGAAATGGGTTTTTTGGGGTTAAGTTCATTTTCATGGCAAAAAGGAACTTTGCAAGTCACTCAATAACATTCAGGAATATATGCAAATTGCCATTATAAAAACTGAGGCAGCAGACTTTGTGAAAATTAATATTTGTGTCATTCTCAAAACTTATGGCCACGGCTGTACTGATGGACCAGAATTACATGACAAATAAGTAAGGACAGTAACATAATCAGAGACAATTAACAGGAATAAGAAAAAATTGATTGTAGAAATATTATGTCAATTTGTGGATTATTTGTGAGATATCCTGAGAGACCCAGATTACACGGCCATGTCTGGGTATATAGCAGAAGGGCCATCAGATTAACAAAGAATCTGATCCACAGCTCCGAGTCTGCCCCCCCCCCCCAACATGCCCCTCGTGGCTATAGCCACCAGAGAAGGGGGCCTCGATAAATCTCCATGCCTGCATCTACACAGCTCATTCTAATGTTTGTGACAACAAGTCCTTGGTTCTGTCACAGGATCACCTTGCACTAACACCATTAAAACAAATGTGACACAGACTATGTAGGATGAGGTGGCACAATTTTATGATTAATTTATTTTGTTTCTATATTTGGTAAGATAGTTCTGCAAAGTTTAAAAAAAGATATTAGACTGAGTGAAATCAAACGTTTAGCGAGTCCTAAGACGCGTTGCTAGCTGGGAACACCTGCTTGGCCCGTGGAAAGGTTATTTGCGTTTCTGCTCAGTGTGTGACAGGTACACCACTGAACAGCATGAAACATTATCTCTGAGTCTAATAAGAGTGCACTGAAGGGAAAAGTTGCATTTTTACACAATTTATCTATTTATGCGTGTCCGTGTTTGTCAAGAATGCTTAAAGAATGTTTAATGAAGTGTCACCGAGACTGCATCTGGTGGTATAGTTTCAGTGTCTTGGTCGACATCAGTACTAACCCAACTAAGTCTGTTCCATGTGAATTTCTGCCACTTCCCATCAATGTCACAGTAATACTCAGATATCATTTTATTGTCACATTTCTCTTTGTCACACTAGGCTTTATAAGCTATTTGATCTGCGTTCCATGTTATCCTTCCAACTCACAGCCTCTGAAGTTCAAGCTGAACCCATCAGCCACCCCTGACTACACCACAGGTCCAGTTGTGACAATGAGTGACTCTTCTCAAATGCTCTCCCCCAGGCCCTCAGTACGAGCAGGCAGGTGAGTAGCCACCTGAGGTCGAAGAAGAAGTTGATGACAGTGGTGAAGGACGACGGGGAACTTACCAATCCGAAAGCGAAGAAGAGGATGAGAAGGACAATGCAGGAGAGCGTGGTGAGGCTCAACAGCATGGCCAGCAGCTGGTACTGACTGATGCAGGAGAACTTGTGGTACAGGGCCTCCTGCTTTAGCTCCTGGGCATCCAACTGATACTTTCTCTTGGCCGGCATGGCGCCTCCTTCTTCACAGGCACAGAACTCCAGGGAACCAAGTTTCTACTCTCTATGTGCTAGTGTGGGATCGCCACTGTCATTCCAAAACTTGAAATCCAGAGTGGGAAAATCGAGTGTGATTCACCTCGTCCAGGGCATCCTGGGGCCTTCTGATTGTGGATCAGTTAGGGTGGAAGCATATTCACCTGAAGGTCAGCTAATGCTCTCAGCTCTGCAGCGCTGGAGGGACGACACCAGCATAGGGGAAGCCAAAAGTGAGAAGGGAGGTAGACCGGATGGTTAGGAGATAAAGCTGTCAAACATCCTGCCGTGTTTATAATCTCCTACCAATTTGTTTCCTCTCCTCTTGTTCTTCAGGTTCCTGGGAGCGGTTTCACCCACAAAAAGAGAACTTTGGATAGGCCTGGGTCTGTGAAGAGAGAAGACAAATAATGCAGTGAGCTGACACACTTTTAAAAGTCTTCCAGCGAGCTTCAGCGGTGCTCTTCAGAGGGTACATTGGTACAATCATGTTCCAGTTGACTTCAGATGACTGCTGCTATCGCTGCGCCTGCACATCTCCTGCATATCTCACCTGCACATTGGCCTTCAGGGACATGGTGTACATGCACCATTGCTCATTAGCTGCGTATTCAAACAAGGATGCAGTACTGCATAAAATGCAAGGTGTTGCATGTGGTGCGAGACACACACAGTTTGCGCACCCTAAAGGTAATGTATCTATCAGTTTATCTGAACTGAATGCTGGCTGGATTGTACTACACTTGAGTGGTACTATGACAATACAGTATACCGTGGTACTTTTGTTCGGTGCAATGTAGTGGCTGGATGAATTTTATTGTGGGGGACCACCAGACTGCAAATTTTATTGTGGGGGACCACTAGACTCTGCAAATTTCATTGTGCCCCCCCCCCCAACGTTGAATTTTATCACCAAGATTTAATAGCACCAGAATAGTGCTGCTTTTGATACCATCAAAATACAGCATATTGCAGTATAATGTTTGGACAGTATGAAAAAAATAGATATCACCCAAGCTTAGACTGTACCACTGAAGGCAACCCCCCCCTTCAGACAGAAACAAATAAACTGGACTGAAAATAACTGAAATGACTACAATTTCAACTTAACAGGTACATGCCCATTCAGAAAAATTCCCAGATTCCGTTTCTGCAGTTCTTCCCACAAGCAATAAAAACACTGCACATATTCATCTAGGACAGCATCCCAAGTCTGTCCCGGCTTCCATAGAAAGCAGCTCTGGCCCTAACAGGACCTCTAAATGAAGAAAATCTGTGTGGAGTATTTTTACTGGAAAGTTCACCGCAGATGATGAGCTCATGGCCAAGCTGACGTTCGTGCTCTGAAGAGTTACAGGGGAGGCCCAAAGGTTTGCTCTCTCCAAGCAAAAGTGTTTGTGACCCATGCCAAGAGTCTGGTTGTGGCTTTGGGGAATCACAGGAATTGTAGCTGCATGGATGGTGTTAGCACGATGGGGTCAGGGTTCAGGGAGAGGATGTGGTGCATGTTAAGGTGGTACAGGAAGCGTGTTTGACATCATAGGCGGCTTTCTCTAAAGTTGGAGGTATGGGTGGTGGACAGTGTGCAGCATGGGGCCACAGACCTGATGAATGATGATTGCCTGTTTAAATACACAGAGGGCCCCTGTTGCGAGACCGATGAAGGAGGCAGTAAACCTAATCTCCATCCTGTACAACAGTGTTTCCCAATCCGGTCCTTGGGAACCCGCAGACAGTCTACGTTTTTGCTCCCTCCCAGAATTGGGAGCTGGGAACTAGAAGCTCGGAGGGAGCAAAAACGTGGACCGGCTGTGGGTCCCTGAGGCCCGGATTGGGAAATACTGCTATTTAAACTGGGCAAAACTCAAAATCATTTTGGATAAGTATTTCAGCCATCGAACTCACAGGAATAGTGAGACATTGCCCAAATGATGCATTAAAAACAGAACAGGAGCATACGAAGAAGAATCACATGGCCAGTAATATAATTTTCAACAACAGGTAATGTGCAGGACCTGAGTAAACACAATATTAACATAGGAATAGGGTAGAGATGATGAGCAGCTGAAAAATAACCAAGATTTATTAATATCAGCATTGCAATTGTCTCCTTGGTCGCTTGGTACTAATCCTCCTGGTGCTGTCAAGGAATAATGAATTTCAAAAGCCCAACAAAGCATAAAGTGGGTGGAAGCCCTGCCCCAGTGCGGACAGTAAGCCAAACCATGTGACACGAGGATGGGAGTACCGAATGGATACTTTGTCTCGGTATGGGACAAAAAGAACAGCAGAGAGGAACGAAAATGCACTGGTTTGGGCTCCAGCACATGGGAAATATGTAGGAACCCAAATGGGAGTTGGCTCATGGGAAGGGTGACAACTTGGATCAGGCATAGTCATGTGGTCTGGAGTTGAGAACCAAATCCAAAATATGTCTTATATTTTTAGTAACTGCGCACAAGTGACTGAATGGACTTGTCATGTGACTGCCCAACCCCCAGGACATCCTCCACCCCCCACATATTACAGTGGGGTTATTTCTGAACACGGTTTGTCGATCACCCCGTCGATAAGTCTTGTCCCAATGACCTACCGCTCATCATGTTCAGGTAGCCTTGCAAATTCCATCTGGAATCAATAGAAACCTCATTTCACATACAACACCAACAGCAACAGCTCTGTCCAGCTCATTTGTGTTTTATTGACCACATTTTTGTTTACTTCCCAAACATTTACCCGCCACACATCAAAGAAACTGCAATAGGAATCTCGATTCTATGTCAATGTGGGTGATTACACCATGAAATACGGTATGTAAAACCTCCAGTCAGAACTACTAAAAAAAAAAAAAAAAAAGGCTTATGCAGAGAGCAGAAATGTCCCTTTTCATATTAGTCATGCCTCTGTTAGCGGATCGCTACCTACACATTCTGCCGTAACTTGCAAAGCATCTCCGGCAGAACATGAATCATGCAGCCATTTAACACCAGAAGGGTGACAGTTTGTCACATAGCAACTCAGTATAGAGGCAACCGGGGGCCAATGGGGGCTTCATGCTATCGTTCTTAAGTTGCCATGGCAAACGAATGAAGGGAGCAAATGAGCAGAGTCGAGTCGGGAGAAGCAGAGAGGAGCCACCGTATGAACACAATGGGCCTTGAGAGGCAGAGTGAGTTACCGGAGGAGTGTGTTCTGCCTGCAGTGCACCCAGGGTGACTTGCAGCTCTAGCACCTACCCCGCCGCAGCCATTAAAAATCAACACGTTAAGTGTCATTTCTGCAAAGCTGATGCTGAATTAGGAGTGCTTAGACAGGGTCACATGAGTGAGGAGTACAGGACAGCATGTGGCTTCCTGTGTGGCGCCAAGTGACTGGCACAGTGACCAACTGAAGCTGACAGATTGTAGTACAGATATGTACCTACTGAGAAACTCAGTCAAATCACCAAGAATCACCAACGGCCTATCTATGAACGTTTGTTTTTTTACTATGCAAAACTATGCATACATCCACCTGACAGCAGCAGTTATAGAATGAGGAGCATTTGTACAAGCAGTTTGCCTTTTAGCTGGTCTTTCATTCTTTTATCTGTGGCCCATAAAAACATTTTAATATCGTAAATTGAAATGTCTCCTTTTAATACACTGGCTGAACATAGTCCCCAGAGCCACAGTGATGCTCTTGATTTGGGTTCTCTTCCACACCACCGCTTAAATCCTTATCCTTGTAATCCGATGACTTCCCTGGCAATAACTACCCAGGCAACAGACGGGTCTACTAACATCAGAGACGGAAATCCAGCTTCATCCACGCTGGTCTATTCTGCTGAGGTTTGACTACCTCGCCTGTGGTAGGAAAATCACATCTGGTATCCTGCCACTACAAAATGCTACGACAGGCAGCATTGCAGGTACTGAATTAACGGTGTCCTACACTCCACTGCTGAGAGGTACTCAGATTAACACTAGGCTCTCTGAAGCATTTTTTTAGCCCACAGTTTCAGATAAAAACAGGAAGCCCGACAGACCAAATGCTGCTGGTAAACTTATGCAGATTAAAATAATGACCTGTGTGCGACGCGAAAGGCGCTGAGTGTGCCATTCTAAAGTAATGGGCTATAACGTTATTCCACATTAAGGCAGCCCCAGTGTTGTTACTAGCAGTCAGAGGTAGCCCACAATGACTTACATACAGTAAAAACAAGGCAAAGTCATATCCTTATTCATACAACTAAACTACTAAAATAATGATTACATAAAAGGCAGTTTTAAAGACATACCAAAGCTAATACGGATATATAAACGAAACGGCAATGCATACCGCACTGATGTCACAGCACTAAACCAAGCATCTATTATTACAAAGGTCTCTTTAAAGGGTAGTTGCTATTGAGACTCATCCTCATAAATTGTCCACGCTGATGTCTTTGGAAGACGTGCACAAAAGGCCCGGGAATTAGGAGGACCCTCAGCCCCTGACGGCATCTCGGATTAGTCACGGTCCCCATTGATCCCGAGTGTATCGGAATGACCATTCAAGCAGACCGGTCTTACGTAAGACGTGAGATCTGTGCTCATTGTGGCAGAGTAATTTCTTTCTTTCTCGGGGATTTTAAGTCATAAAGCACTCCCGATATGCAGCTCCGATGCCAAGTCCATCACAAAAACCAGTTGGGTTCCTGTTGCCTCAAATACATTAACAGCGCCTGGAAACGTCCAACAGACTGTGTCTGTGAAAAGAAGCTCGTGTGACCAGGCTTCATTAGTGGCACGTTAGCTGCCGCCAGTCCCAGCGAGCGCTAATCTGCATTGTGTAACACAGTAACACAAGGGGTTACGCAACGCCAACATTAAAGGTCCATGTGTCAGTAGATGGGCACAGACTCCTTTTTGCGGTTCTGTGTGAAATGGCTGCCATCTTCACACGGGACATGGAAGAGGTCACAGGGACGGGGTCACAGATTTCATTGAAAGGGTATCATTTTATAAGCCAGACAGTGCTGGTACTTTCTCGTATGGAGTGGAGGAAGAGAAGGTGCAAAGACACCCAAGGCTGAGCCCTGACTCATGCTTAACACCAGAATGGTGACAGTTCTTCGCCAGCTCTCTGCGCATTTGAACTTGTGATATGATCTTGTAAGTGCCTCAAATGACTGCAAAAAAATATGTAAGTCAGGTTTTTCTCGCTAACAAGAAAACAAAATTTGAAGCAGTAAAAAGTCATAATTCCTTAGCATACATTCTGTATTCACATGGACGTACATGTTCAAATAAGCCTGTGTTACATCAGTTCCTTTATTTACATTAGAGTGGATCCTGTCAATCACATTCATGACTTCCCTCCACTTTACTCTTGTTGTTTCTCACGGCAACATTATTCAATTCCAGA